CTGCTCACTTGATCCCGAGCTCGTTGACTCTGCTCGGCAAAGTGACACCAACAGATCCCACTCGCGATCCGCCATGGCATTGCTGCTCTGAGGTGCCATCCGGGTGCGCGCCACCAACACCTGCTGAGGCCTGCTCGTCGACGAGGAGGTGGGGTTCTTTGGATTGGGGCACTCCCTGCTCCAGTGGCCCAGCTCGCCGCAGCTGTGGCAAGGGTTGACTTTCATCTGCTCTGCCAAGGCCTTGCGCTTAGCCTCGTTATCCGGCCTGCGGTAGTACTGGCGAAGCTTCTTGACCTCCGCGATCTTCTGCTTCGCCTTGCACTGCATGCCGAAGGCCTCGTTCTCGCGGACCAGAAGCTCCGGAGGGGTGTCTCCCTCCTCAAAGTCATCCTCGCCCATCTCTGGCTCGCCCTCATCGAGCTCACCGTGCTCTGCGGCAAAGGAGTGTCTGGCAGGCCTGCTTCCCGGAGTTCCCGAAGCCACACGCCCTTGACCATTGGCCCCGGCACCAAAGCGCTGCCTGGCATCACCGCGCTGCAGCATCCACTCCTCGCCATCCTGGCGATGTTCGGCTCGGACAGTCCGAAGGGATACCGGGCTCCCCTTCCAACTCCGAGGCCAAATCCACCAGTGCTCCAGTGACCAAATACTCGTCCACATCCGAGCCCGCCTTGGTCTTGACCATCGCCTTATCGCGGCGGCTCAAATGGGCGTGGTCCAGCAGGTGCCCCACAAAGAAGGCTTCTCCCATGGCAAGGGAGCTGTCCAACCCGGGCAGTTGCGTCCGGGCTCTCGATCGACTCATTCGGGGCCCTATTCAGCTGCATGAGCCTACGCCGATGCTCGTCCACCTTGTGTTTGTCCACCTGCCTGATCAAGGGCGACTTCTCCAGCTCATCGAAGATAACCTGCATGCCGCCCGGCCCGTTGACGTCCTTGTTGCTGAGCCTTTTCACAAGTTGGGCTGCTCGGTCGCGAAGTTGGACCATCATCCTTGGCCCGATCAGTTCCGGAGGAAGCTGTCCCCCTTCACCTCCGATCCAAAACTCCACAGCCCGTTTCCACTCGGCGTAGCTCTCCTGAGGACGTGCCCTGAAAACGGGCGGATAGGTGCTGGAGACCCTGCCGCCGGGCTTCTTCTCGGCCTTCGCCAAAACATCATCCTCGCCCACCACTTTCACCTCACCCTTGGAGTCGCGAACCTCCTCCGAGGTGTCCTTGATCAACTCGTAGGGCTCGTGGTACTCGCGGTCCCCGACATAGAAGGCCGCCCGATCCCATTGGAGCTGCTTCTTCTTCGGCCCCTGTTCACCGACAACACCGCCAAATCCTCCTTGGCCGGCGCAGCCAGTGTTCCAGCTCCAGTTCTCAGTGCTTCGCTTGTCCCAGTCATGCTCCGTGCCATCGCCTGTCCAGCTCCAGTTCTCATTGCTGACCTGAGACATGCGATCATCGGGGCCGCCTCTCCAGCTCCAGTTCTCATTGCCGACTTGAGACATGCTATCACCGGGGCCGCCTCTCCAGCCCCAATTCTCATTGCCTCCATAGCCTCCGTCCCATGTAGACCCGAAGCCATGGTACGAGCCGTCCTCGGACCATCCGTCCCATGCCGGCTGTCGCATCGGGGGAGACCCCTTTGCACTGCCACGCCATCGTGGCTCATCTCCGCGGTCTCTAGAATCACTCGAAATGCCGCCTGTGCCCGCATTGTCCGGGGAGCGGCGCACCATACCATCATCATCTTCAAAGCCGTGCTCATACGGCTGATCCGATTCCCCATTCGAATCACTCACAACCGTTTCGCCGAACGATTCATAGTAAGACCGCATCGGCCTTCCTTGCAGGTCACACGCACTGACCCAAGCCCTCGTCACTGAGGTCCCCACAGAAAACAATTCACACCACACAAAAAACTTCACGGCAAAGTCCAGGATCGCGCCCTGGAGCCCGTCAAAGAGCGCCCGCCGCCCTGGATCTAAACCGGCTCCGCTGCCAGCGAAATATGGCAGCTCGGCAAAACTGAAAACAACCCTGGGCGCCCCTTGTTTTCCCGCACCCTGCAAGGAAAGCCGAAAAGGGCTTCAGTGATCACTTCTTCGAGCTGGCTTCTGCCGAGAAGGGCTAAATAACGGAACGTGTCACTCTGCAAAGGCTCGCTTTCAATCTTACGCAATCATCGCACATGCCTTCACAAAACCTCTAGAGAAATAACGGTGGAAGGGCTTCTTACTGAGTAGTGGCAGTAGCAGTAGCGGTGGTGGTGGTGGTAGCGGCTGTGGTGGTAAAGAGTCGTAGTAGTCAGTAGTCGTCGTGGTGGTGGTGGCACTGGCAATCATCGCAGTCGTGGTGGTCGTGGTCGAGGTCGTGGTAGCGGAGGGGCAGTATCAGTGGTAGCAGCGTAGCAGCAGCAGCAGCAGCGGCGGCAGCAGCAGCAGCAGCAGCAGCAGCAGGAGGAGGTGACTCGGCTGCAACTTGCAACCAGGCTGCATCGATCAGATCGGAGAAGCCAAGAGGGTCGAACTCGGCCTGTCCATGCAACCCTTTTCAATGTGAACCCTTGGGGCTTTAATGAGTGCAATAGGCTGCTGGGGTATTTTTAATAATCTGAACATAGAAGGACTTTAGGGGAACACGAATACAATTTGTTCCGCCTCTATAGTGCGATAGCCGTTTGAAGCAAAGCGTGCTTGGCAAGGTCCAGCATGGGCAATGTAGGGGCGCTAAGAATTAGAAATGAGGTTTTGGGGAACACTCTACTATGAGTATAACAAGGAATCCTAAAGACAGTAGTTCTTTCGGCCCCTAACCATAATTAAATTAAGGAACCCCCCAAAAAAGTTTAGGTAACTATTATAAGACCCCTATAGTAATCTAGGCCCTACTATATTACCCCAGACACCACTGTTGGATGCAGGTCCGAGAGCCTCTGGTGCCAAGGGATACGGACACCATCCCTAGATGCAATAACGCATGCTTGCAGGAAGAGAGCAAGAGAGAGAGAGAGAGAGAGAGAGAGAGAGAAAGAGAGAGAGCGAGATAGAGAGAGACAGAGAGCAAAAGATAAATACATATATATATATATATATATATATAGATACATATGCATATACATATAAATAGAAAAAGAGAGAAAACATAGAGAGAAAGACCTGACAAGCGGAACGGGCTGGGGAACTTGCCAGGTCTTCGCCATGAGCCCTGCACTTCCCTTCAGCTCCCAGCGCCCCACCACGTGCTGACTGCCAGAATGCTTCCGACTCCCGACAGAATGTAGGGGCCTTCATAATTTCAGTAGGGTCTCGGCCTAAACCCTAAACCCTAAACCCTAAACCCGGGGTATATTCTTATATTCTACAGTAAAAAAATTTTTATCAAGGAATCCCCCCGAAATAGCATAGGTGCCTAGGTAATTCTTAAGGCCCCTCTAGTAGACACAAACACACAAACGGCAGCGATGGAGTCCACCTCGGTTGGCTTCCTTTGGCCAGCGGTTCAACCCCACCGTAACCCTCATCACCAACAGGAAATCCTAATGTAGGGGCCCAAAAAATTACCAATACTAATTTTGGAGGCTTCCTTATGACAATTGTAGTATAATGGGCCCCAAAACCCTATTCTAATTACTAAGGCCCCTATATTAACACTGAACCACAAAGCAACACACAGCCACGCAGCCCGAAACCCAGATCCTGGACCCTAAACCCCAAACCCTGAACCCGAAACCGTAAACCCCAAGAACCTCCACCCCTAGGCTTGCACATCTGGACCTCACCGCCGACCATGTTCCCGAGATTCTGGGGCTTTGGCCTCAGGAAGGTGGGGGCTTGGGGCCGTTTAGGGTTTAGGTGCTATACCCCAAACCCCACAAGCGCTGAGGGTTGAGGAGCAATACCCCAAACCCCAAACCCTAATGTGGCTTTAGGGCTCTTCGGGCCCCTAGTCCAGAGTAGCTCTAAGGTTTGGGTTTAGGACCTCGCTCGCCGCTCTCCTGCAAACTCCGATTTAGGGTTTGGGGTTTAGGGTTGAGTTACGTCATAATGTGCCATCGCAAACCTCAACCCCCAAAGCCCAAATCTTAAATCCCAAAACCTAACCGCAGGCCCTATAAACTTCACACAGGCCACTTATGAAAACTTTTCATAAGTGGCCTGTATGAAGTTTACATGGCCTGGACTAATGAAAGGCCCTCCCAAAACCCTATGTCATAGAATGCAACATTAAGAGTCCAGAATAAGAAAGTATCAGCAACCCGTTAAACCCTCACATTAGAGGAACACGGCTCTCTGGTTTACTTTCGTGCCCCCGGGCAAGAAGGGCAGACTCTTGCTGGAGGATGCCCGGCAGACCTGGCACGTCACAGCCGAACTAAGAGCAAAAGAGAGTGAGAGAAAGAGAGAGGTGTCAATGTAAGGTTCTATACAGGTTGCATTAAGAGGTGATGAGTGAAGAAGGGTTTTACATAAGTTCCGAAAACCTACGCCAGTGATGTGAGCACATTTGGCTGGTCCGAGCACAAGTTTGCTGAGGCCGCTCACCAGGTGGAATATTATATCATATTCTATTAAAAGTATGGTGTGTTACATTACATTATACTCTAGTAGAGTATATACACTATGGTAGATTATGATATGTTGAACTGGCACAGTGGCTTCATGGTTCGCAGCTTGATAGAATGTCGAAAAGTCGAAGAATAGACTGCAACGGTGTCTTGGCAAAGCGAGCGCGAACTAGACCCAGGCACTCCAAAGTACTTGATACACTACGTACTCATCATAGTGATATGAAGTCTGATCATGATATCGAAACCCTAAACCCCTAAACCCAAAACCCCAAAACCAATGATATCATAATGATATCGACGGGACTCCCAAGAAACAATAAGGGCTCCTGGAGTCCCCCTCTTTGAAGCCGGAAAACCCACAGCCCGACGAACCGAAACTACGGAACTCCCAAAGCGTTTCCGGTTTAGGGTTTAGGGGTTTAGGGTTTAGGGTTTGGCGGTTAGGGGTTTAGGGTTTAGGGTTTAGGGTTTAGGGGTTTAATGTAAGGGCCTTGATAATTAGAATGAGGTTTTGGGGTATGTCATACTATAGTTATACTGAGTAACCCCCAAAAATAGTATAGGTACAAACCCCAAACACCCAAAGCGCTTGAACCCAAATCCTTCGAAGAACTCGTCCAAAGCCCTTGTAGGCTTTAGGACTTAGGACTTATTGGCGGTGCTTGTCTGTTACCAGAACCTTGTAGAAACCGTGGAGTGTTGAGGGTGGGCGGGCTCTACGACGGTAGTAGCAACAAGAACAGAGCAGACAACAACAAGAATTGCAAGAAGCGTGCGAAGAAGAAGAAGCAGCGCCAAGGAATAGTTAGTATCACTCATTGCCCCGGCTACTAACAAAGAGGCCTTAATGATTAGAATAGGGTTTTGGGGGCCCATTATAGTATAATTATAACAAGGAACCCCCCAAATAGCATTGGTAGTTTTATTTAGGCCCCAACATTATATTCTCGGAGGCACTGGATTCTCAAGACAAGGCGATGCCACAGTGCGTGGTCCCTGTCGGTTGGCTGCGGCGGAGCCGCAGAAAGCCGACCCCTGCCATGTGGGGGTTTCCGAAAATAGGGGACCCTAATATAGTACCCTAAATAGTAGGATCCCTATTATAAGGACCCCAAAATAAGGTACCCCTAATTTTCGGGAACTCCCATGTTCGGCTGGAGGGTTCGACCAAAACCGGCCCATTTTTGTGGGATCGCTGTTAACTTAACTCTGAGAAGTAGGTTTACACAAAGAAACCGTAAACCCAGGGACTCAAGAGTTTAGGGTTAAGGGTTTAGGGTTTAGGGTTTAGGGTTTAGGGTTTAGGGTTTAGGGTTTAGGGGTTTAGGGTTTAGGGTTTAGGGTTTAGGAGTTTTGGGCTTTGGCTTTTGAAACCGTGCCGGCGGTGTTGGATCACTGCGGTTCGATCACATCGCAAATACAAGCGAACAATCCAGTGTCAAAAGATCTGCTTCGCAAGAGTCTTTAAAGGTTTTCTAAAGGCTATTCCCTAAACCCTAAAGCCTAAACACTAAACCCTAAACCCAAAACCCTAAACCCTAAACCCTAAACCCTAAACCCTAAACCCTAAACCACGAGCCCTAAGCCCCTAAGCCCTCGCACCTGAACCGAACCCTAGCCCCAGCTTCAGGAGCTGAGAGCAAAAGCGCGAGTAGAAGTGCGAGCCGAAAACTCGCGCAGCTTTCGGGTTTAGGGTTTAGGGGTTTAGGGTTTAGGGTTTAGGGTTTAGGGTTTAGGGTTTAGGCCGATTCCCCACATGCCCGGAAAGAAACGGTGTAAACGGATGTTCTGTGGAGACAACCCTTATAAACCCTAAACCCCGAAACCCTAAGGTGTCCCGAACTCCATTTCAACCATGGGCAGCCAGTTTCTCTGATAAACGTGAGTTTATATAGGGGCCTTCATAATTCGATCAGAGTTTGGGGGGGGGGGTACATTCTACTGTAATTATAATAAGGAACCCCCCCAAAAAAAAATAGTATGGGCCAGTATGGGTACTTATTAAGGCTACAATATTTTGGGGGGCTCCTTATTATAGTTATAGTATAGTGGGCCCCAAAACATCTAATTATATTATAGCATAATGGGCCCCAAAACCCTATTCTAATTCTTAAGGCCCCCTCTATTATGGCCCTCAGGATGGGGGGTAGGGTTTAGGGTTTAGGGTTTAGGGTTTAGGGTTTAGGGTTTAGGGTTTAGGGTTTAGGGTTTAGGGTTTAGGGTGCCTGGTCATCCTTGGCCACAGCCGACAGGACAACGTCGAAGAAG